AAGCGCAGCAACAGGTTTAGGATGAAAGAATCAAATGGCCTTACTATATACCCCATCAGCCACAAGTGGCCAGTCTAAATGAAAAATGGGCTGTTTCACTAAAAAAGGAGCTCTCGTGGCACAGTGGTTAAGGCAGTCAGTGGTTAACTAGAAGGTCACTGGTTCAAATACACCAGCCACTCCACAAAAGGAAGATGAGGCAGTCTGCTTCCATAAAAATTTACAGCCTCAGAAACCCTACAGGGGTTGCAATGAGTCAGAAGTGACACCATGGCAGTGGGTTTGGTAGGCCCAGTGATGGTGCCAGATTAGGAGATAATACCCTGAGAGCATGGGTTCTGTCTTACAGGATGCAGTTTATGCTTTGAACCAGAGGCCATTATGTGGTGCTGTCCTCCTGCCAGGACACATGGGACTCAGAATCAAGGGGTGGGAGGAGGAGTGGCTCCTCTCACACTTACACCTAATCATCGTCTTAGAGAAATGCTGCTTCCAGTCCCCCTGGCAGCTTAGAAGGGTGCTAGTCTCCAAGGGAGAATGCTTCCACCAGAGGACACAACAGTGGTTCCACTGAATTGTGCCACCTCATCATTTCGGGCTCCTTACACCACAGAACCATTAGGAATTTGAAAAATGGAATTAATCTACCAGCTGAAGTGATTAATCCTGATTACCAGAGGAAACTGAGTAGCTGGCACATAATAGAGACAATAAAGACTAGGTCAAGGGATTCTCTAGGGCACCAATTGGTACTTCCATCCCCAACACTGAAGGCTAATGAAAAACTACAGCCACCAAAAGAAGGTAACTGAAGAATGAAGGCTTGGGTTACTCCACCAGGTAAAGAACCCAGAGTGGTGGAGGTTCTGAGGGCAAAGGAAACAGGGAATGGGTGGTTGGAAGCCAGAGATATCAGCTGTGACCTCATGACCAATTTCAGAAATGAAGACTGCAGCAGTTTTGTATATTTTCTCTAAACTGGTTATATGCATGTGTTTATTTGCATGTACTAACCATTATCTTGTCTCTCCTCCTCATTTTATTTTACAAATAAATTACTGGAGGTTTACTTTACCATTTAGCCATGAGGTAACAGACTACTACCTATTCTGAATCACTGAACAGAGTATTCAGCAGGACTGTGGCTAAATTTGAGGAGTAATTAATACCACCTTTGAAGGATACAACTACTGAGACCATGAAACTATACGTCTCCTTGTTTTGGGAAAGCAAAGTTCTTCGCTTGAAAGACAGAGAGCAAGCAGCATGTTGTTAAGCAAAAACAGAGCTGTTTCGCTGGGGTAAGGGAGTTCGAAAGTGTAGAGATTGGTGCATGGGGAAGCTGAACAGCCAAAGGGGTGGACTGTGCCAGTTATCAATTTATTGCCTCTTAGCTACAAATTCACCCTAGCATTTGACTGCTAACCAGAAAGCTGGCAGTTCAAACCCACCAGCCACTCCTCGGAAGGAAGGTTAGGCAATCCTACTTGCGTAGTGATACTGCGTCGGAAACCCAAGGAGGGGTCGCTATGAGTCGGGGCCGACTCGACGGCACATAACAACAACAACAACAACAACAACAACCACCTTAGGATAGAGAACAGGTAACAGATGAGAGGAAAAGGTACCACAAGGAAGCAAGGGGAAAAGTCCAGAATGTGGCTTGGCCTCTTCAAGAAGTCAATGGCATGAAAACAACAGGTGGTGAGGATAATAATATTCTGGTTTACAAGAGACTTAATTATGAGATGTAAACAAACAAGTAATTCTTGTTTGGGTCTTGATTTGAATAAACCAGCTATAAACACACACTTTGAAGACAACTGGAGAAATCTGAATACGGACTGGTTGTTGGATAATACCAAATGCTAACTAAGTTTGCCAGGTGTGAAATGACATTATAGTTTTATAGGAAACTATTTTTTTTTAAGTGATGTACATTAAAGCTATGTCTGTGATTTACTTTAAAATACAGCAGGAAAAGTATGATTGATATTATATGATGCCTTTGTTTTTAAATAGTCCACAAAAGTGTGTGTGCGCGCGAGTGCGCACGCACGTGTACACCTGTGTTGGAAGTGAGGGGATAGACAAAAAAAGAATGGCAAAATGTTGATGGTTGTTGAAACTAGGTGATGAGTACATGGATATTCACTATACAGGCATGCTGCATGCCTCATTTTACTGCACTTTACTTTACTGTGCTTTGCAGATGTTGCTATATTTTTTTTTAAACAAACTGAAGGTTTATGGCAACCCTCTGTCAAGCAAGTTGATCAGCGCCATTTTTCCAACAGCATCCACTCACTACATTTCTCTTTGTCACAGTCAGGCAATTCTCATATGGTTTCAACCATTTTCATAATGTCATTGCACATTTAATAAACAACAGGATAGTATAAGCATAACTTTTATATGCAGTGGGAATCCAAAATATTCATTCAACTCAGTTTTTGTGATACTTGCTTTACTGTGGAAGCCTGGAACCAAACCCACAATATCTCTGAGGTATGCCTGTATTAGTTTCACTATGTTTGTTTATAGTTGAATTTTTCCTTAATAAAGTTTTTTTTTCAAAAACTTCTAAAACAGTTGAATCAAACATAGCAATGCGATAATAGATGACTATATGGTGTTAATTCTACTACTGAGCACTATTGTGTACTATGCCGCATATTTGAAATTTTTCATAATAAAAGGTTAAATAACAATTACTAGGAAAGAAGGGGGGCTCATCTCTGTCCAGTATTCCAGGGAGCCAAGCAGTGGACAATGTCACTAAGAACAGTGGGCCAGCACTGGTGTGAGTAGTCAGGGTGAAGGAAAAATAGAAGTCACTATTCTAAACATAAAGGCACTCTGGTGGTATAGAGCCTAAGGCATTTGACTGCTAACCAGAAGGTTGGTGGTTAAAACCCAGCAGCCACTTCACAGAAGGAAGACCGGGAGACCTACTTCCATAAAGATTCACCACCTCAGAAACACAATGGGTTCGCTGTGAGTCGGAACTGACTCGATGGCACCGAGTTTGGTTTCGGTTTTATTCTAAATATTCATTGGGGATAAAGAGGTGCAAACAACATGATCTCAGCCCTGAAGGAGCTTAATTTAGCAGAAGAAACTTACAGAGATTCCAAAATTGCCCTACTGTGCCACACATAGGAGCTCTTGTGCCACAGTGGTTAAGTGCTCAGCTACTAACCAAAAGGGCAGCAATTCCAACCCACCAGCAGCTCCTAGGGAGCTCTGGTGGTATAGTGCCTAAGCCATTTGACTGGTAACAGAAGGCTGGAGGTTCAAACCCACCAGCCACTCCTTGGAAGGAAAGTTGAGCAATCTACTTCCATAGTGATACTGCCTCAGAAACCCAAGAAGGGGTTGCTATGAGTTGGATCCAACTCAACGGCAGTGAGTTTGGTTTTTGAGTTTGAGTAGCTCCTAGGAAGAAAGATATGATAGTCTGCTCCCATAGAGTTTACAGCTTTGGAAACACTATGGGGGCAGTTCTACTCTCTCCTATAAGGTCTCTATGAGTAGGAATGGACTCCACAGCTGAGAGTTTGGTTTCTGGTTTTGGTGTCATACATAACACACTAGAACATCAGGCCCTGTGAAGCACAAAGGAGTCAGTGGACCTTACTGGAGAAAATCAAAGAAGGTTTTAAGAACACTCCCTGAACAAAGTCCTGAAGAATGAGCAAGACTTCTCCAGTTAGATAGAGAAGGTGATAGCAGTCCCCACAGAGGCAACTGCAGGCTGGTGCAAACACAGGGAGCCATGAAACATCATGATGTGTTGGGGCCTGTAATTCTGTGGGTAGGAGAAGGGTAGATGAGAATGGAGAGATAAAGAAGGGTAGATGTTCCACAAGGATTTTGTACTTCATCCTACAAACAAGAGAAGCCACGGAAAAATCCTAATGTGATCGTTTATAGTTTTGAAAGATTCGTGGTTTAGAACTCTGACTCTCATGGGAGGGCTGCCCCTAGCCGGGGTCCTCACTCGCGCTACCCCTGGAGTCACTGACGACTTGTCCCTTTCTCCCAACCTTGGTCAGTAGTGCTAATGCTATGGGTTCAATTTAAAGTAATAGCGACTATAATGTCCACTTTTGGTAAAAGTTTTATTTAGGGTAGCTAACTGCAGGGCGCTGAAACACGCTCCTATGCTGCAGTGTCTTGTGTTTTAGAAGCTGTTTTATAAACGCTAAAACCACAAGGGGATTTTGCAGAAGCTTGCAGCTGATTACACTTCCCACTTCCAAGAACCCAGGGGACATTCCGGGAATAGTTGGTGCTTTAGGTTAAGGCTGTTTACCAAGATTTGAGGAGTGTTGGCTTTGATATCTATTATAGCCAGGGTTGCTGCTTGGGGAGCCTAGGGTGGGGACGGGGGCACACCCCAACCCACGGGAGTGAGGGCAGGGAGAGATGGCCACTTCACTATCTCGCCCCCTGCACGCTCCGGCCCCCTGAGAGAGCTCCTGTGGTCTGATTGCAACAGTAGTTCTCCGCCAGAGACTGGGCACTAGCTGCCACCTGTGGGTGGCCACCCTCAACGTGATCTGAGCATCCTTCCAGAGGCTGACACACCCGTGCTTCGGTACTGGCCTCTGTCCCTACTTGTATGACCACCGTGCTTGCCTCATTTTCCTTCTCTGGAGGAGGGGAAGGCCCAGCTTCCAGCCCATAGGGGTCTTTGCGCTGGGAGAGTCGGGGAGTGCCGGGATCCCGCCAGCTGCGGGGAGAGCAGGCGTTAAGAGACCCAGCGCCTGTAGTGACTGGGGTGCGCCCCACCGGCTGCACCAGGAGACTCTTGTCCGCAGGCGAACGGGGTAAGCCGGGTAATGGGTGGGCGGGGCAGCTCACCGGTAGAAGGCAGACTCTCCGAGCGGGTTCCAATTCGCCGTGTAACAGTCCATGGCTGATGCAGAAGACTGCTGAGCAGCGCTGAAGGAACGCTCGCTTAGCGCGGGCTCAGGGATGGCGCTGGCACTTCCGCTTCCGCCCATCGGCTTCACGTGTCGAGGTCGCCGCGGCCGCCATCACCACTGTGGGCAGCCGCACTCGGCTGCCGCAGCATCCCCCACTCGCACTCCGGGCCTCTAGCTTGCCCGGGTGGACCTGGCCTTGGCTCCTCCCCGCCGCGGCGGGCATCCCTGTCGTCTCCCCGCCCCATCAGGCTTTGGGGGTCGCGCAGGGAAGGACATGGGTGACCGGAAGTGGAAGCTGTGAGCGCTCACGGTGCGCTGCCCGAGGCCTGAAGCGCCGTCGAGGCAGGCGCGACGCACGCATGGAGAACGCTGGGCCACGGGCTGTGCACCGACGGCTAACCCGGACGCACGGGTTCCGCGGGGCGGGAGTTTTACAGAACCGACTGGCCTCCCGGGGCGCAAGAACATGAGGCTAGGCTAGGAGCCGGCCGCAGACGAGGCGCGAGGAGCGCGGGCCTGCCCGGGTCGCCAGTGAACGGCGCCGAGCCCCGGGACTCGGTAATTGGCGCCTTCTGACGCGCGCATGCGCGAGCTGGCGGCGGGCACGTGGCCAGGCGCTGGGCGGTGCTGCGCAGAAAGCGCCACAGTTCCCGGGAGGCGCGCGCTGTGACCCCCTGCCTCAGTGCCAAACGTGGCCAAGGCCAGCTCTGTGATGGGGCCCATTCTGCTGCTGCCCCCTCCTCCCTGTAGCTCTGGGCAGCCTGGGAGGGGCCCGTGCAAGCCTTCTTTATCCAGAGCGGGCCCTCGGGCCACTCTGTCCTGAGCCCCAACCCTCAGGCGGCTTAGTGGCCTTTCCCTGCAGCCTGCCATTGTCGGCAGCGGCATGGTCTTCTATCTGGAGAACAAGGAGCCTCGCCGCCCTCTGCCAAGCGCCATGGTCCACATCCAGGCCTCGGAAGTCCAGCAGCTGCTACACAACAAGTTCGTCGTCATCTTGGGGGACTCCAGTGAGTGCCCCTTTAGGATCACCCTTCCCAGTCATGTACCTGCAGCGTGTTCACTGCCTGTATCTGGACCTTTTCATCTCCGTCTCAAAGTTCCTCTTCACCCTTTAGTCTCTCCCAGTCTAGTAGGTCTTTTATTCTTTTTCTGTCCGTACACACCATTCACAGGTGCCCTGACACGTACCCTGTGCACTCTTTACCCTTGCCTTACTCTGCATTTCTCTCCCAGATTTCCAGTACCCCATAATTTCCCTGTGGGAGCAGTGGCTTATGTGTTGTCTGTTGTCTGTCTCCCTGGTGATTTGCCTGACTGACTTCTGCCAAATGATCTTGGGTCACCCCATACAGAAGAGGGGTGAGGTGGAGCAGAGTTAGAAGAAACAGAAATGATGCAGGACATTTTAACCTCACCTTTTCTCCTCCCTCTGTGTAAACACTCCACAGAGTTGGGGTTAGGTAGCCCCGGTTCTGGGAGGATGGAAGGCCTAAACTTAGAGGAGCTGCAGTTGGGTGGGGCCTGTCAGCCTGTGATGTCTGTCTCTTTGCAGTCCAGCGGGCTGTGTACAAGGACCTGGTACTTCTGCTCCAGAAAGACTCACTGCTCACAGCAGCCCAGCTAAAAGCCAAGGTGAGGGAAGCTGGGTGGCCATGCCAGTGGTGGGTGGGCACAGACCCTGGCCTGGCAGGGTCCTCCTCCCTGGCATGGGTCTGACCAGCTAGGGGTGGGGGGGCAGGGGGAGCTGAGCTTTGAACAGGACCAGCTGGTGGCTGGGGGCCAGTTGGGCGAGCTGCACAACGGAACACAGTACCGCGAGGTCCGCCAGTTCTGCTCCGGGTCTGGCCACCATCTTGTGCGCTTCTACTTCCTCACCCGCGTTTACTCGGAGTACCTGGAGGACGTCCTGGAGGAGCTGACATATGGGCCCACCCCGGACCTGGTGATCATCAACTCCTGCCTCTGGGATCTTTCCAGGTTGGGAGGCAGGAGAGGTGGGAGATACCTGTAGAGGGTGGGAAAGTGGAGGTGTAGCTCCAAGATCCCCCAGAGCTGTGCTTTTGCCCACCCTGTGTGCTGCCCCACAGGTACGGCCGCTGTCCCATGGAGAGCTACCGGGAGAACCTAGAGCGGGTGTTCGTGCGCATGGACCAGGTGTTGCCAGACTCCTGCCTGCTTGTGTGGAACATGGCGATGCCTCTGGGAGAACGTGTCACTGGGGGCTTCCTTCTGCCAGAGGCAAGTGAGCAGGGCCTTGGGAGGGGTCAGCTAGCTGGTAGGTAGGGGACCTTCACTCTCCACCCTGCTTCATTCTGCTCTTAGACACTGTACTTCCTCACTCAGCTCCAGTCTCTGGCAGCCACTCTGCGGCGGGATGTAGTTGAAGGGAACTTCTATAGTGCCACATTGGCCAGGGACCACTGCTTCGATGTCCTGGACCTCCACTTTCATTTCCGGCATGCAGTACAGCACCGTCACTGGGACGGTGTCCACTGGGACCAACATGCCCACCGCCACCTCTCACACCTGCTTCTGAGCCATGTGGCTGACGCCTGGGGTGTGGAGCTGCCCAAGCGAGACCATCGCCCTGGTGAGCCTTGCCACAAGGGAGGAAGGTAGTGCTGCAGAGAGGGCCCCAAGAGTGCAGGACTCAAAACTGTAATAGGACAGAGGTTCAGAGTTGCTGTCATGGGGAGTGGGGGCCCCTTGAGGATTGTTGTGGCTCCTGAGTGCTCTTCCCTCAACTCCTGGGGAACATTAGATCCAGTCCAAGTTCCATTCTGTATGGTCTAGCCTTGTAGTCAGCTTTGTGTACATGAATGAACGTATACAAGCATTGTATCAAATACGTATCCAAGGAGCCTTGCCTTACGGATGAACAGGAAAGAAAGGGAAGCACTTCTAACTAGGCACAGTTATTGGGGTGGCAAGACGGAAATGGAGGCAGTAACCAGGCAGTATGTGGCAGGAGAACCTGAGGGGAGGAAGGCAATGCAGCGGGGAAGGAGAGAGGCAACTGAGCAGTGAAGTAACGTGATGTTTGCTATGGGTATTTTGGGATGGTCAGTCTGATGGCAAGAACGGAATGGACATATTCCACAGACTCTGGTTCAGTTTCAGGATCCCAGTGCACCCAGCTTGGTGCAGCTCTCCTCTGGCCCGTCTCTGGGTCATTAGTGGAGGCTTCTGAGTCTAGAATGATGGGCCCAACCCCACCTCACGCCTCCTGCGCATTTTGAGGTGTGCTGCCTATCTCATCTCAGTTATAAAGCTATCTCCTGTAGGAAACCTATTTCCTTGGCAGTCTCAGACCTTGTGTGCTCACAAAGGAGGCATTATGGCTGATTGTTTCCATGTCTGCTTCTCCCCTGGATGATGTTCTCACAGGACAGGGTTTCTGCCTTAGTTGTTGATCCCCCTCACCCCCATGCCTAGCATAGTTTCTCTGTATATGGTACCAGCAGGCTAAGCAGAGAATGTGGGGGCCACAGAGGCTAGGAGCATCACAGAGGTACACTCTCAAGGATTTGATAGCCGAGGGTAGGAGCATGGAAGAGGTGAATTAGGACTTTGACTCTATAATGGTCCAGTGTCCTTGTTTTTTAGATTATGAGAGATGCCCAGCAGAGGGAAGGAATGCTCTAATGGTCATTTGTGATGACTCAAGTCTTTTAAAGCTAGTTTTGAACTGAAGTTTTGAGCTGCAGAAATAGGGATGTCAAAAGGAAGAGTTGATTTCAGGCGGGAGGATGAGTCGGTGAGTTTGGCTAGTGCAGGTCTGTGTGAAGTGCTTTGGAGATACAGAGCGGGCCACAGATTTGGAGTCCGCAGCATGCTGCAGAATGAATGAAGCTGAAGGCTCCGGTGTGCACTGTGAAGGAGAGAGCATAACAGTGGTCACATTTTGGAGTTGGGGGAGAAGAGGAGCCAACATAGGAGACAAACACAGATAAGGGTGGAGGCACTCTAAGGGAGGGCAGAGGCTATTGGCCATATCACGTGATTGTTGGGAAGAAAAAAGTTAGTGAAACTTGTCAGTATGTGATTATGCTTAATAGGAAGTGTTGAGGGAGTGAAGAAGGATGAAAAGTGGCAGTGAGAGAATGGAAGTTGGGCAAAATGTACTTTGTGGAAGTTTGGAAGAAAAAGGAGACAATGACCAGTGGGAAAAGGGATGACCGGATCTTTATAAGAGAGAAGGTATCCACAGGGAGGAGCTGAAAAAGGAATAAAGCTAAAGATACAGGAGATGGGAAAACTGGGGAGCAGGCACAGGAGGGAAGCATGAGGTCAGAACAAAGGTACATCCTGACCTTTCAAAGAGCCAAGAAAGGAGGAACATGCCTTGGCTTGATCTGAAATAAGAAGGAAACAGTAGAACGTAGAAGGTGCTCCCGCCCACTGGCCCTGTCTCTGAGAGGTTTGGAAGTATGAAGGCAAGAGTTAAGGGCATCTCGGCTTCCCAGGCCTACCTAAAACAACCATCCCGTTCCTAGACCCGTGGATTGAGGACTGGCCAGAGGCGGATCATTCGTTCCAGGGAGTCCATAGGCAGCCCCCAGACTTCGGGGAGCAGCTGGCCTTGCACCCACCCCTGCCCTCTCCCTTGCCCCCACCCATACCCTATCCCTACCCCCTTCCTCAGCCTTCACCACCTCCCTTGTTCCCACCACTGCCCCAGGATGCCCCTTTTTTCCCAGGCCAGCCCTTCCCACCCCATGAATTCTTCAATTATAATCCAGTGGAGGACTTCTCGATGCCACCCCACTTAGGTAGGTGTTTCCACAGCCTCCCCTCACACCTCTTCTCGCCTCCCCTTGCACCTCTCCCCAGCCTTGCCTCCTGTGTCCAGGTAGACTGAGGGTTGTGTAGCTCCTTATTCCCCCAGGATTGGGATTGGTCACAGCATCTGAGTCTGGAACAGCATCTGTAGACTCATTAATCAGCTCATTGATCCTCACAGTATCTTGGTCTAGAGTAGGGAAAGTGCTATCCTCATTGTGCAGATGGGGAAATGGAAGCCCAGAGAACGTGGCCAGAAGCCCACTCTGATAACAACTGGTTCTTTTCTAGGATGTGGCCCTGGAGTGAACTTTGTGCCTGGTCCGCTGCCACCTCCAGTCCCTGGCCCTGTCCCTCATGGTCAACACCGGGGCCCAGTGGTCCACCGGGGGATGCCACGCTGTATTCCCAGTGGCCCCTACCCTGTGCCAAGGATGGGAGGGCCCTGCAGGCAACGGCTCAGGCACTCAGACAGACTGATCCAGACATACAAACTGGATGGACGGCCTCCTCCTCATTCAGGGACATGGCCTGGGTAGACTGGAATTGGGGCTGGGTTTTCCAGTGGCCTTTCAGGACCTGCCTGCCACCCTAGGAACTGGGCCAGGGTCTCCACTATGCCCCAGTGTTTTTCTGTCTATTGCTGTCACCAATAAAGGCTTGGAAGAACAGAGTGACATCTTCCTGTGTGAGGGAGTGGGTCTCCCAAACCAAGTTTTACAGTTAGGGAGGCTTCTTCCAATCTCTCTCCAACGTGGAACTTTGGCCCCTTGTTATTTAGAAACCATTGACTGTGTCCTTCCTCCTGTGTCACACACCCATTCCCACATTCACCAGAACACACGTGTGCTGCACAAAGACATCGGAGGGGTCCCCTCTTGTCAGCAGTTCTTTGGGATTGGAAAAAATCAAGGGCAGAGTTGAAATTGTCAGCATTTTATATGGAATTTTGGATTTGGCTAGGTCTCCTTACCTGTGTTTTCCAATCTCATGCATTCATTTCCACATTCAGTGTTCACCTAGCCATAGAAAGACACCTATCTTGTCTTACATAATTTTTGGCACACAGTAGATCTTTAGTAAGTGTTTGGAACTAAATAAGCTCCCAAGCCCAAGTGAAGGAGATCAGAAACTCATTTAATAGGTATGATGTGCAGTGGGGGCACAGTGAAGGCCAAACTGTTAGGGAAGGCAGTAGAGGAGCTAAGGAAGAAGAGTTTCATGGAAGGAAGAAACTGTGTCAAAGTCCCTAAGAAAAGAAAGATGAGATGGGTTAAGGGGTTTTGAGTTTGACAAGTGGGCCTGACCCTAGGTTGAAGAACATAGTGGAATGTGGGGTGGGAGTAGGGCAGGAAAATAGGGTAACACAGAGACCCATTAAAGAATTTTGGAGAAGAGGAAGAGGGGTGCAGGTTTTTTGTTTTAACTATTCATACTTGTCAATGAGAATTCACCTTGACAAGAGACAGATAACCTCATACAAAAGGAGATAGAAATAGAGACTAGAAAAGTGTTGATCCTTGTTAGCGATCTACAGAATGCAAATGAAGCTGTTAAATTAACACGCACTGTGGCTGGGGAAAGGAGCCCTGGTGGCACAGTGGTTAAGCACTTGGCTAGTAACCAAAAGATCGCTGTTCGAACCCACCAATCACTCTGGGAAAAAGATGTGGCAGTCTGCTTCCATAAAGACTTACTGCCTTGGAAACCTTATGGGGCAGTTTTATTCTGTCCTATAAGGTCACTATGAGTTGGAATTGGCTTGACAACAATGGACTGGGTGTTTTGGTGTTTTGGTTTTGGTGCTAGGGAAACTCATAAGACAGTGTGAGTTCAGAGAGCAACCTGGACAGGGCTGTTGAAAGTCAAATGACACCAGGTACAAAGGCACCAGCCCAATATCTGAAACAAGCCTGAATCGGGTACAGACAAAAAGTAGAAAGACATATACAAGTATGAGAGAAAGCTTCTTGTTAGGGAGCTACGATTTTAGATAGTTTGTGCAGAAATTATCTTTTTCTTTTCATTAGCAAAAACCTGTTATCCTTGGAGCATCCTCCTTCAGCTGCACTCACTTTGCCCCATCCTTTGTGCGCTCCTTTCTACTACTCTTTCTCAAAACCCAGTCTGGGCACTTCTGCATCTCTGATTTGTGGCTTCTCAGGATTGCCGGAGAAGTTTGTACACCTGGACTGAGTTACAGAGAAAATACGAGTTACCGAGCCTCACTCTTTTGTTGTCTTGCCGTCTTGTTCTCTTAAGAATTGCCTGTCACCTTCTCCACCAAGAAGGAGCTCTGGTGGGGTAGTGGATAAGGCTTTTGGCTGTTAACCAGAAGGTCAGTGGTTCAAACCCACCCGCTGCTCCATGGAAGGACAATTGGGCAATCTACTTTGGTAAAGATTTATAGCCTTAGAAGCCCAATGGGGGTCACTGTGAGTTGGAATCAACAAGGTGGCAGTGAATTTGGTTTGGCTTGGTTTTCCCCACCAAGCCTTTCCCAGGCTTTTGTGCTCTCCTCAGACCGTATTCTACTTCTGGAACTCTCACTCTGTAAGCAGACCAGAGACTTACCAATGTGTTGTCTTTAATATCTCCATTATTTTACCTCTATATTTCTGATTTCTATCCCATCTTGTTATATAACTCCCATCGGCCATGTTTCATAACCTTTACTGGAGTGTCCCAACACCTCTTAGTTTTAAAACTTTCTTGTAGCCCTTAAAAAAATCACTTAAGTAGTTTCTCTTAAAATTAGAAAAATACCATAATAGAATGAAGAAGGTAAATTTAATTTTAGTTTGTTGTCATACAAGTATATTGTTGTTGTTACTTGCCATCGAGTCAGACCCAACTCATAGCGACCCCTCCTTGAGTTTCTGAGGCAGTATCACTATGGAAGTAGATTGCCCAACCTTCCTTCCAAGGAGTGGCTGGTGGATTTGAACTGCCAGCCTTCTGGTTAGCAGTCAAGTGCCTTAGGCACTATGCTACCAGAGCTCCCACATAAGCATATAAGCATATAGTACCAAACAATTAAAAGTTAGAGTTGGTGACTACTCCCTACAGAGTTTGTTCAGTTATAGTTGGGAAATAAGGAATTCAACAAAAAGTAGTCATGCAACTCATCACTTACATTTAAATAGTTCCCTGGCATTTGCTTTCAGATGTAAACATGATGAAAATCTTACTTTGCTCCAGTATGTAGACATGCTTGCTAGTTAACCATGAAGAACTTTTCAAACTTCATTGTCTCAAAATCCATACTTGACTATTGAAAATCATTTAATAAGATAGTTTTATGTTGACTGCCTCTTTCATGGAAGTTTGATTTTTAAAGAGTGGATCCAATAGCCATTCCTTTGTCATAGAAGCTATTCCTGAAAGGAGTAAAATTTTCATGATCACTTCAGTTGTGATGGTTCGCCTTAATTTTCCAGGGGACAAAATATTTCTTTAATGAAAGAAAATTGATGAATTTTTTTTTTCCCAATAAACATACTATCCAAACTAGAAGTTTCCTAACAAAAGCAGGAAACTTGTCATCTGTTACATTGGTCACCTCAGTTCCTTTCTCCACAAATTGCCTTTTATCTTTGTCAAAAATCAATTGTCCATATATGTATGCATCTGTTTCTGGACTCTCTGCCCTGTCCCCTTGATCAATCTGTCCACCCTTATGCCAATAGCATACTGTCTTGATTACTGTACCTTTACAATAAGTCTTGAAATTAAGTAGTAGAGTTAGTTCTTCAACTTTATTATCATTTTGAAAAAATTATTTTGACTATTCTGTTTTGTTACATTCCCACGTGAATTTTAGAGTCAGGTTAATAACTTCTACCAAAAAGCTTACTGGGGTTTTGATTGTGAATTTATTGACTATATAGATCAATTTTGGAAAAATTGACAATATTGAGTCTTCCAACTCATGAGCAAGGTATATCTCTCCATGTCTTTAGATCTTCTTTAATTTCTCTCGAAAATATTTTGTGGTTCTCAGTGTACAGATCTTTCATATCTTTTGTCGGATTTATCCCTTTTTCATATTTTTTATTGCAAATGCTTTTTAAATTTCTATTTTCAATTGTTTGTTACTAGTATGTTGTTGTTGTTATGTGCCGTCAAGTCAGACCTGACTCATAGAGACCCCTCCTTGGGTTTCCGAGGCAGTATCACTACGGAAGTAGATCACCCAACCTTCCTTCCGAGGAGTGGCTGGTGGGTTTGAACCACCAACCTTCTGGTTAGCAGTCAAGTGCCTTAGGCACTAGGCTACCAGAGCTCCCTTGTTACTAGTGTAGAGAAATATAATTAATTGATGTATATTGACCTTGTGTCTTTTACTTTGCTAAACTCACTTACTAGTTCTAGATCCTATGGCTTTTGTTTTTTATAGATCCCACTGGAATTTTTTACATAGACAACCATGTCATCTGTGAATAAATAATACTTTTGCTTCTTACTTCCCAATCTTCATTCCCTTTGTTTAAATTTCTTTCCTTATGGTGTTGGCTGGAACCTCCAGTACACTGTTGAATAGAAGTGGTAAGAGTATAGAAATCTTTGTCTCATTACTGCTCTTAGAAATTATTTGGTTTTTTTATCATTAAGTATGATGTTAGTTGTATGTTTGTTATAAATGCCCTCTATCAAGTTGAGAAATTTTCTTTCTGTTCCTAGTTTGCTGAGAGTTTTATCCAGCCTATATATTGAAGTTTGTCAAATACCTTTTCTTCATGTATTGAACTGTTCATATAGTTTCTTATTTTTATAATATGGTGAATTACATTAATTGTTTTTGAAACATTAAATCAAATTTGCATTCCTGGTTTTAAAAAAGGAAAGAGGTTGTGCAGTTTGAAGGTGATGGAATAAAAATGGCATTTCCTTCTTCTCTCAGAAATCACCCAAGCAAAAGTAAAAATGGAAAACAGAAATGCAAACACTATCTGATGAAACCAGAAGAAAGCAGAAACCCTAAATAATAAGTTAGGTGCTACAATCACTTTGGAAATTATCGGGCAACATCTGCTAATGTTGAGTATTTACATATAACCCAACCCCCGTTTCCACTGAGTCAATTCTGGCTCATAGTGACAATATAGGACAGAGGAGAAGTGTCCCAAAGGGTTTTTGAGGCTGTAGTCTTATGGAAGCAGACTGCTCCATTTGTCCTCCCACAAAGTGGCAGGCAAGTTCGAACCACCAACCTTTCAGTTAGCAGCCACGTGCAGAAAGATGTGGCAGTCTGCTTCCATAAAGATTACAGCCTTAGACAATGTGGAACAAAACTCAAAATCATTTGGGGGGAAAAAAGGGGGGGACCAGGTTTGCTAGTCTGATAGAGTTTGGTGGAACCAGAGACTATGGTCCCTAGCTGCCCTTCAGGTCTGGAATTGAACCCACTCCTGTGGCTTCCAGCCAAAGAAAAGACAGGCATATGAGGTGAACATTTACACTAAGTAGATATACTTTCACCCAAATCACAATTTAAAAAAAAAGATTACAGCCTTGGAAACCCTATAGGGCAGTTCTACTCTGTCCTATAGAATCACTGTGAATAGGAATTCACTCAGTGGCAATGGGTTTGGTTTTTGGTTGGTGAAAAGACAACAATTCTACTCCAAGAAGAATTAATGCATCTTTCCACCAGAATACTTGAATATTCATAGAAGT